CTTCCTTCTTTCTTTCTTTCTTTCTTTCTTTCTTTCTTTCTTTCTTTCTTTCTTTCTTTCTTTGTAACAGGGATTGAACCCAGGGTAACTTCATCACTCAGTGATATCACCAGTTCTTTTTCTTTATTTTTATTTTGAGATGGGGTTTCGCTGTGTTGCTTAGGACCTTGTGAAGTTGCTGAGGCTGGCCTTGAACTTGGAATCCTCCTGCCTCAGCCTTCAAGTCACTGAGATTATGGGTGTGTACCAGCATGCCTGGCAACATTTTTTTTTTCTTTTTAAAGAAGGTATCTTTTTTAGAAAGAGCATAAATACCATCTGAAGAAAATACCTTTTCAAGGGTTGAAACATACAAAATTGCCATTTGAATATATCAAAATGTGGGATGCTGGCAATTTCATATGGTTCAATCTAAAAAAAGAAAGCTAAAGGATATATTATATTCCTGAAGAAGATGGAAAGTTTGACATAATTTATTCCATGTTGATAGTTTAATGTAAATAAAGTTCTAAGCACAAGGTAATTCTAAAGTTTATCAGGAAGAGCAAATCACTGAGAGTAATCAAGGAAGTGTTTTAAAAAGTGCAATGAAGATAAAAGCCATTTTAAAGCTATAGTAATTGAAATAGCATGGTACTGGCACAAGAACAGACTGACAGATTAACGGAACAGAATATACAGCCCAGAGATAGAGACCCTAGAATATTTCTAAACATTTAGCATGTGGCAAAAGTCAAATTACAAAGTAAAAGTTATTTAAAAAATGGTGCTTATGGGGCTGAGGATATAGCTTAGCTGTTATAGTGCTTGCCTCACATGCACAAGGCCCTGGGTTCAATCCCCATCACCACACACACACACAAAGGTGAACTAAGAGTTAGATGACTGCCTCATATCATGCCCCAGGTAAATTCTAAATGCATTCAAATGTTAAGTGTGAAAACTATGACAAAAAGTATTTAAAGAACATATAAAGCAAAGCTCAGTGTCTCACGGCTGTAATCTCAGCAGCTTTGAAGGCTGAGGCAAGAAGATTGCAAGTTTGAGCTCAACCTCAGCAATGTAGCAAGGCCCTAAGCAACTCCGCAAGACCCTCCCTCAAAAACAAAAACAAAAACAAAAAACAATCAAACAAAAAAACAGCTGGGGATGTAGCTCAGTGGTAAAGTGCCCCGGGTTCAATCCCCAGTACCAAAACCCAAACACCAAAAAAATCAACATATAAGTGAATAATTATTCATAAGATTAGTATGAAGTAGACCCTTTAAGCAGAAAAGCAAAGTTAGAAACAAAACAGTAATAAAAATACATACAACAAAACAGCAACCCAGGGCTGGGGATATGGCTCTAGTGGTAGTGTGCTCGTCTAGCGTGCATGAGGCACTGGGTTCGATTCTCAGCACCACATAAAAAATAAAATAAAGATAGTGTGTCTACCTAAAACTAAGAAAAAAAAACTCAGAAACCCATAAATAGAATTAGAAGCCAAATGTAAAACTGGGAAAATATGTGCACTGTGTGACAAAAGGTTAATACCTTTAATATATAAATATTTCTATCAATCAATAGAAAAATCTGTGTGTCCTAGAAAAATAGGCAAAGGACACAAAGAGAAAATTTATAAAGAAATACAAAGGGCCAAATGATATATGGAAAATGTGCAACCTTACTTAGAAACAATAAGATACCATTTTTTAGCTACATGATTTAAAAAGTAACAATAATATAGGTTGAGAATTTAGAAGATGAATCACTTTCCCTTACTGCTGGTATAAGTGTAAACTTACAAGTTTCTGCAGAGTAAATTTCATTAAGAGCCTTAGAATAATTTATATCTTGTGTCTTGTTCATTAATTTCTAGGAATATATCCTAAGAGTACTATCACAGGTCTGAAAAAAACATAAGGGTTTTCACTGCAATGTTATTATACTTTAGAATTTGAAAAAATTACTCTTAAAAAATGATAAACTATTAAATATTTTCTGGCACATCAATTTGGTGGAATATTATACGATAATTAAATACTTAACAGCCTGGAGCAAAGCCCATTATATAATAAGTGAAAAAAGCAGGAAATTCATTTTTATTTACCATCAGGACACAATTCTATAAAAAGAAATAACCTTACATATATTTACATATACACTTATATTTATACATACATACATATACATAAGAGAAAAACTCTTCATCATTATAATCCATGGAGTGATGGGATGGGTAATTTCTATTTTTATTTATTTATTTTGAGATCAGATCTCATTATGTTGCTCCAGCTTCTCTCACATCTGTGAGCTCAACTGATTCTTCTGCTTCAGCCTCCCAAGTAGCTGGGAACTACAGGTATGCCACCATGCCCACCTATGGATAATTTATTGTGGTTTTTTTGTACTTTTATATATTCCTCCAATTCCCTATATCCTATATGCATTACTTTTTTTGTGGCCAAACATATATAGCATAAAATTAACCATGTTAACCATTTTAAGTATGTGTATATAACTTTTAAAATTAGAAACAATGCTATTAATAAATAAGTATGCACTAAGCAGCCTCTCAATTTGCACCCACACTACAGTTATAACAATGTGACTATTATTTATCTGGTCAGGGACAGGAAAGAAACATAACCCAGACAGATGAGAAGTGTCATAGACTGAAGTGGCAGAAATGAGTGTGATCATGTGTGTTTGTCCAAAGGCAGCTTTGATAGATAAGTACCTTCAGGCTTTTTAGTGCTGAGGTAAGCAATGGCCCAGATCAGCAGAGAATACTACAAAGTAGAAGCAGGAAGTGGGGAGGGGCACTGAGCAAGCAGGCGGACAAGTCAGTCACATGGAAAAATGAATGACTGAGACTAATAATTTAAAATTGCAAGTTGAGTGCAGTGGCTCATGCCTATAATTCCAGCAATTCTGGAGGAGGATTGCAAGTTAGAGGCCAACCTCTGAAACTTAGCAGTGGGGTATATGGTTATGGAACAGAATAAAGTAATTAGCTCTGTCTCAAAATAAAATAAAAATAAAAAGGGCTAAGGATGTAGCTCAGAGGTAAAGCACCCCTGGGTTCAATTCCCAGTAACAAGAAAAAAAATTGCATTCAACTGACCCCAAATTCATTTTTATACAGCTCTTCAGGAATATATCAATTATATAAATCAGGAATTGTCCAGAAGAGGTAAAGAAGGGAGACAAGCAAGCCAATGGAGGTGTAATTTTAAGGGAGAGATCTAGATTAAAGGAATATGCAAAGCCTCAATCGTGCTTGGATTAGGAGCCTGCTCCTATTATGCACATGTGGCTATACTTCCCCAGCCTTATTTGCACCAGTCTGATTTTTCTTTGATCAAAACTGGCTCATTCTAGGATAAACCAATTATTCAGTTTGAAAGCTCTGCTACTAGGCTTGCCTCTATGGTCTATAGAAAAAAATGCAAGTTTCCCCAGGTAACAATTAGGACAATGCATGGTCAATCCCACTAAGATGTGGCCTATTTTATCCATTAGTCCTGCAGTTAGTCCTCAGTGAGGGCGTCAGGGACTAGTGGATCCTTGCTGGCTAGAATTGTTGGCTTATTTGTCCTAGGCAGTCAATTCACTGAGGCAAGGTGCACTGATGAAGCACCTATACTACTATGTGAATCTTGGAGGAAGGAGAACCACAATGATGTATCCAGGAGGAGAGGACTGAAAGGGGCCTTATTTGGAAGCTTCATAAAAGACTGAGAACAGAGTAGGTATCAGGTGGCAGCTTGGGCTCAGGCCAAACAGCCCTGAGGTTAGCAGCAGAAATGCCACAGAGTTGGGGTTTGCATAGTATTTGCACAAGCAGTCATGAGCTCCTCGGAAGCCTGGCATTACTTGGGGCTGGTATTCTTTGCTGTTTTTGTTATCCATCCACAAACACTTCAAGGCATCGTCTCACCTGCATCTTTCTCTTCACGGTGTCAAAGGGAAAGGAGAGGGTCTGGGTCACAGCAGCAGCCAGACAGACAGTGGTAAAGTTCTGCAGCAGAGAGAACTGGTCTCGGGGTCTGTTCCAGATTTTCTCCAGGTTCATGTAAACAAGAAGGGAGCCCACGGAGAATGGAAGAGCACCTGCAAAGCAACAAGAGGCTGCTGTCTGGAGAAAACAAAGTTTAGGAGTGGGGTATATGGTTATGGAACAGAATAAAGTAATTAGCTCTATATGGATTGAACAGTCTGTTAAAACCATATATATATGCTTTTAATATACACGCATACGCGCGCGCACACACACAGACACACAGACACACACACAATTTTTGTACCAGGGATTGAACCCAGGGGCACTTAAAGACTGAGCCACATCCCCAGACCTTTTTATATTTTATTTAGAGACAGGGTCTCACTGAGTTGCTTAGGACCTTGCTAAGTTGCTAAGCCTGGCTTTGGACTTGCAATCCTCCTGCCTCAGTCTTCTGAGCTGCTTAGATTACAGGCATGTGCCACCATGCCCAGCTGACTTCTATATTTTGATAGGGGTTGTATCATTCATCAAAATGCATCAAATAGTTCATTATAGGTGAAGGTTTGTGTGCACTTTACTATATATAAATTCAACATAAATAGAAATGTAAATATTGAACTTGAGTTAATGATATACATTTGCAGTGTTCAGGGATGAAGGATCAAGTGCACTGGTGTTCAAAAGTTACATTGAAATTGTCAATAAAAAGATAAGGGATGGGGTTGTGGCTCAGAGATAGAACGCTCGCCTAGCATGCGTGAGGCACTGGGTTCGATCCTCAGGACCACATAGAAATAAAATAAAAATATTTAAAAAAAGATGAGCTGACAATTAGGATGGATAGATATGTGATAAAGCAAGAATGTTAAGTGAGCTGGGTATGATGGCACACACCTGTCATCCCATCTATTTGGGAGGCCAGGGCAGGAGGAACAAAAGTTTGAGGCCAACCTGGGCAACTTAGTGAGACCCTGTCTTAAAATTAAAAATAAAAAGGACTGGGGGCATAGCTCAGTGTCAGAGTGGCCTTGGGCTGAATACCCAGTACTGCAAACAAAAACAACCCCCCCCCAAAACAAAACAAAAACAATGAACTCCCACCTCCACCCTGGCAAAATGATAAGTGTACCATCTAAATGGTAGATATATGGTGTTTATAAGTCTTCTAACTTTTCTGGAAGTCTCAAATAAAATGTTGGGAAAAAATCACTCCCATAAAAGGAAAGTTAGTGGGCAGCACTTAATTACATTTTGGAGCTTAGAAGGGACTGGTCTCTAGCTAAGAAAGTATTTTGTGAAAACTGTATTTGGAGAGGATATCTGACCTTGCTTTTGAGAATGACACAGTTTTATCAGGGCCCAGTGGGCACGCTACCTTGTGAGGCATCCTCACCTTTCTAGTAACTAAGATGGTGAGCCACTAACACAGTAGGTGGCCCTCTTACAAACTTCCAGAAACTGGGCGACATCTTTGGCTTACAGAGGGACTAAATTTCTCCCACAAAATGAGATTTAAAAGAGGAGATAACACAAGTGGGATTGCTTATCTTTAGACCAGGTAATATTTATTTAATGAACATATTTTTTTTTTAAAGAAAGAGGGAGAGAGAGAGAGAATTTTAATGTTTATTTTTTTTTAGTATTTGGCGGACACAACATCTTTGTCTGTATGTGGTGCTGAGGATTGAACCCGGGCCACACGCATGCCAGGCGAGCGCGCTGCCGCTTGAGCCACTTCCCCAGCCCCTATTTAATGAACATATTAAAAATGAATCACCAACCTCCCTTTTACCTTTATTCAGAAAAATTTGGAGAGTTCATGGTATGTGCTGGGCCCTATGCCAGGTGCTGGGAATACAAGGGTGCAGGCCAATTCCTGGAGATAGTTATCATCGAGGGCAAAATATCCCAGAAAGGGCCAGGGTTGTGGCTCAGTGGTAGAGCACTTGCCTAGCATGTGTGAGGCACTGAGTTCGATCCCTGGTGCCACATAAAAATAAAAACAGGGCTGGGGATGTGGCTCAAGCGGTAGCGCGCTCGCCTGGCATGCGTGCTGCCCGGGTTCGATCCTCAGCACCACATACCAACAAAGATGTTGTGTCCGCCGAGAACTAAAAAAAAATAAATATTAAAAATTCTCTCTCTCTCTCTCTCTCTCTCCCCCCTCTTTCACTCTAAAAAAAAAAAAAAAATAAAAACAAATAAAATAAAGGTATTGTGTCCATCTACAACTAAAAATAAAAAATAAAAAAAAGATCCCAGAAAAACTAATAAGGGTATGGTCCCTGATATGCATCATAATAGGGGCCTATACAAGATGCTTTAGGTACACAAGGATTGAAAGGATTCGGTTTGACTGGGAGAATAAGGAAGGACTCGACAGAAGAGAGATCTTTTAAACTTGGTCTGGAGGAATGGGTAGGAGTTCATTAGGCATAAAGAGAGTGGAAAGGCAGTTCAGGCAGAGGGAATGGCCTGTATGAAGGAATAGTATTTCTGGGAAACACAAGTCCTGTATGGTTGCACATGAGTGCAGGTGGAGGCATGGCACCAGATGGGATAAGGTGGATAGATTGGCAGGGGCAGGTCTGAAGGATTTGAAATGCCATAAGGAGTTTGAGTTTTCCTCCTTAGCTCAGAAGAGGCCAAGGAAGGCTTTTAAAAAGGGCAGGTGGTGAAACAAATGCATTTGAAAAGATCATGCTGCCCAGCAGCAATGTTGAGGTCTGCTTTTCTACCAGTATAGCTGAACCACTTGTATTCTGTGCTCCTCTCTTCCATGGAATGTGACTGGCCAAAGTTTAGGAATGGGGTATATGGTTATGGAACAGAATAAAGTAATTGGCTTTATATGGATTGAATTCATATGAACTTGACCTTGGTGAAACTGATTTCACTGGTTATAAAGATATGTAAAGCATTCACATATGCCAGAGAACATAGTCTTTTCTTGAACAAGGTGAAATGTTCCAGCTTACCTAAAACAGTGAGGGAAACCCCTCGATAAAGGGCCAGGAACCCTTCCTGTTGATAAATAGTAGAAAAAGCATGGAAGATTCCCTTGTAAGTCGGTTCCAGCATGTTCTGCACAATCAACCGGGTTTTGATGAGGTCTGTAGGATATGTCACAATGGTGGAGACTATGCCTGCGAGACTCCCAGCTACAATGGAGCTCTGCTGGGAAATATGGCCTGAGTCATCTGTGAACAGCCCAACAAACCTGGGAGAAAATAGGGAAAATCCCAAAAGAATCAGATATGGATTGTGTTTACACTACTTTTCGAAATAAGTGCTTTATAAAGTGGTAATTTCTACTATTAGAATTGATGAATAATGTATTTAAATCCTATATTTTCTATTCTAATTTGTTACATATGACAGCAGAATGTATTACAATTCATATTACACATATAGAGCACAATTTTTCGTATCTCTGGCTGTATATAAAGTATTTTCACACTATTTGTGTCTTCATACATGTACTTAGGGTAATGATATCCATTTCATTCCACCATGCCCCTTCCCTTCCCCTTAAATCCTATATTTTTATAATGCTAGTTAGCAATAAAGAAAAGATACCTAACCCTTTTATTTATTTCTACCATAAATTCTTCCCACTTCATTTCAAGCAGTTTCCCTCCTCTGCTTTTTTGGGGGGGAGTACCAAGGATTGAACTCAGGGGCACTCAACCACTGAGCCACATCTCCAGCCCTATTTTAAATTTTATTTAGAGACAGGGTCTCATTGAGATGCTTAGCACCTAGCTAAGTTGCTGAGGCTGACTTTGAACTCTCAATCCTCCTGTCTCAGCTTCTTGAGCCACTGTGATTACAGGTGTACACCACCCTGCCCTGCTGCAGTTTCCCCTTTTATCTGCATATCTGTCAAGTCTAGCTTGCCTGTGAGGTATAAACGCACAGAAGTACTTGGCAAATACTAAATTGGAATGCACTCTTTCAGTCCTGTTAAAACTTAAAAGGAATAGAATTTCTTGAAATGATGACTTTCAGCATCCCAGAAATTGAATTTTGAAAATATAGTTTTAGTAATGTTAAAGTTTTGTAGGAGGTCATGGATTTGGATTGAGCACCTATACTGGGCCTAACAGACCTGATACAGAGTTTAACCATAGTAACTGAGCTTTCATTGCAGAAGGTCCTATAGCCAGTTAGTTAACTTATTAGGCTATAAATAATTAGCCTTAAGCTGTAACCAACTGATTAGTTGATTGACTAGGCTGTAGCTAATTAAGTTGTTTTCTAGGCATTCATTCTACTGTACTATAAATAGTGTCTGACCACACTATTGTTTGGAGTTTGCCAAGCCTGCTTGATTCTGGGAGCTGTTTGATATGTGAATTTTGTATTTGTTTTGTTCAAATAAGCTCTACTGACTTTAATTGATCTAAGGAATTTTCCTTTTAACAATAATTATAAAAGAAGATGCTCTGTCTCAGTAGTTACCAGAAAAATGACAAATAAAACAATGGCAAGATACCATTTATCACCAAGAAGATTAGCAAAGGTCAAAAAAGTCTGATAATGTGAAATGATGGTGGGACTTGGCTTTCAAATTTGGAAATAAGTCTCACCCATTGCTGGGAGAAATAGAAATTGGGCCACTTTGCAGTATCTATCGAAACTGGAGAAACATCTATCTTTATTCCATTAATTCCATTTGTAAGTGTACATTCTAGAGAAACCCTTGCAAGTATAGGTATGAAGACATACTACAGTAGTATTTATAAATATGAAAAGCTCATGCAAACTAAACTTCCATGGGTAAGGAGATGGATAAATTGTGGCACTGTCATACCATAGATATTAAATAACCATTAAGATGAATGCGCTTGGAACTATTGTCAATATAGATAAATCATAAAAGCATAATGTTCAATGAAAAAAAGCAAGCTGCAGTGATATATAGTGTATGATAACCATCTATTTAATTTAGAAACCCTTACAGCAATGCCTTATACTATTCATGAATAAATATATATGAAGAAGTATGAAAATAAACCTCTGGGAAAGAGGAGAAGCAATGGGACTGGAAATGAGAATGAAAAATTCAGCCTTTTCTGTTATATCTTTTTGTATCTGAAAAAGAAATGTGGCTGCCCAATGCAGTGACCCATACCTGTAGCCACTCAGGGGGCTGAAGTGGGAGGATCACTTGAGGCCATTCAGTTTGAGTGTTTGGTAGACTATTCTTTTTATCTTTCTGCAGTTTTACAATTTAGTTAAAATGTATTTGGGTGGAGTTTTCCAAAGGCAAAACATAAAGCATCTCTGTTACAATTCTTCTAAGCAGGGCATCCCCAGTCACAAGGGCCTATCCTGGCAGAAATCATTACAAGGGGACTTTTCATCCACTCCCTGGCCAGGAAGCAAAGGTATTTTACTCTTTGCTGATGAGAACAAAATACTAAAGGGCTTGAAGTCAGAAAAAAATAATAATTTCTGCCAGATAGTGGAAATAGGGAGGGAGATAGTGAAGGTTTGAAATATAAGTGAACATAGCTAGGCTAACATAAGTGTTTTATTTATTTATTTAAAATGAGAGCATCCCCAGTACTTTGGCTTTCAAACCTCTAGCGAAGAGGTTATTTCTTGCTCCTTCAGCTGTCAGCAGGCCCGGGCCCTGTGCATGATGAGTGACTGTTCAAGTGAAACCATCTTAAAAGGTTCTAGGCTAGCACCTCTGCTCCTAGAAAACATTCATTGATTAAACACATCTCTTCTGAGCTGTAGGAAAATCTTCATTTTGTTAACCTGCCTTAACTGTCAATTGAAACAATCCTTTGAGTAAACCAACTATTTTTTTGGAGGGGGAGTACTGAAATCAAATGCAGGAGTGCTTTATCACTAAGTTACATCCATCCCCAGCCCTTTTTGACACAGGGTCTCAAAAGTTGCCCAGGTTGGCCTCAAATGTTCAATCCTCCTGCCTCAGCCTCCCAAGTAGCTGGGATTACAGGTGTGTGCCAGTGCACCCAGTGAGTTAACCAACTACTTTTTAATAATGCATGTAACTAAAGCTGGCATTCACCAATATACTATTTGCCTCATTCTTACTGTCTATATATCCTTCCTCATTCCTCTCTCCCCTCTCCCTTGGCACTGCTGTCAAGTTAGAGGGGTAGGGAAGATAGAGGAAGTGGAAATGCTTGACTGGATGTTGGCAGCAGCTGGAACAACCTAGAAGGTGGAGTATGAATAGCCAAAAGAAACATCATTCATTCTCATTGTCCCACCCTTATTCCCCATTCCACTTGGCCACGTCTAGGACACTGATTAATTACACATTTGTTGAATATCCATAATGTGCCAGACACTGTGCTAGCTCTCAGCATAGATCATATATGAGAGCTGAACAAGCCTGATAAGGAAATGACTAATGGAACAACCAGTGGGAAACAGGCCCTTGGTCCTCTCGATGACTTGAACTAGAAGTAGAACCTTATCTTATATCAGTCTATTTTATAAAGTAGGGTCTTACTATTTTTTATATATTTATTTTAGTTGTAAATGGACCTTTATTTTATTTATATGAGGTACTGAGACTCGAACCCAGGGCCTCACACATGCTAGGCAAGTGCTCTACCACTGAGCCACAACCCCAGCCCCAAGTAGGGTCTTACTATTATTAAATATACAAAATTAAAAAGAAGAACCAAAGGTAACCCTTTCTTCTCAGACTCCTATCATCTGACACAGGGACAAAGAACACCAATCTCTCATTAGAATTGCTAAATCAAGACAAGCAACCCTGATTGGCCACCAATGATGTTATCCTGGTCCCTACATCTTAAATGCTTGTCTGATTGGCTGGGAATGCTGGGGTTCCCATTTCTGTTCTTCCTCCCACCCCCACACATACATACATACACAGAAGCTTTTCCCCGGGAGTCTGGATAAGCTAGTGAACTGCAGTAACCCCTTCCTTTCAGCCAGCACAGACATTACACACACCTTGGATACGTGTGGTTAGAATGGCTAACACTTCAACCTAACACAGGCTAGCAGCAAATGTAGCCAAACACATGCTTATGGAGCAGTTGTTCAACAAGGAAATGGCATTGGTTCTAAACAATTTCAGAGCTGCAGGGACCCAAACCAAAGTTTAGATAGAAAAATAAAGTTGAGAGAGGTTCTTCTATTTGATGTATTTGTAAGCCATCCATTTTGTCATTGGTTTATGACAGGAACCTACCTACTGATAGACACTATCAAGTGGATGCTTTTGATCTTTAATTTGAGTAAGCAGATATTTCTGCTGTGAAATGGTGGACAGAGCCCTGGAGTGGCTTCAGGAGCCAGAGGACCTAGTTTTAAGTTCCAGCTGTGTCATTGTGTTTGCAGACAAGTGGCTTAAGCACTCTGTTTCCCTGAACATGCCAAATGTTTATGCTTTGTTCAAACTCACGAGCAGAAGCAGTGACATTATCCCATCCACCTGTTTTACAAATTTGTCGTCAGGAAAAGAGCAGAAATGAGTCAGTATAATGATGAATCATGAATATCATCTTTAGGTAGGAAGGATGACATTGTGATTAATCAACCACTTTGCTTTCTGGCTATGCCTTGCCATTTATTGAAATACTTCTTTTTAGCTTCCAGAAAGAAAATAATCCTGCAGGAAGAAAGATATTAGCAAATCTAGCTCATGTAACCCTCTGTTCTCCCATGCATTGTTCTCTTCTACAGTCACTAGCCTATTTCAGGTGCCCTCAGTTGCCATGTGGACTAGAGCAACAGGTTCCTAACTGGTCCTGCCACCCTAACCTTCCTCCTTTCTAGTCATCCTACCATGCTACCATATGACAATCATTCTACATGAACTGCTTTAATCACAACACTGCCTCCCCCACCCTGCAAAATTTTCCCACAGCTAACCTTGCATACCAAGTTGAATCTAAATTCCTTAATCTGATCCTCCAAGATCATATCCCAACCTGCCTTTCCTGCTGCATTTCCAGTCATGCTGCATGCCTTCCCGCCTCTGGCCTTTGCTGACATTACCTGCAGTTCTTTCTCCTGATCTTTACCTCAAGGCCAAACTCAAATCTTTTTTCCTCCTCTGTGAAGTCTTTATGCCTTCTTTGTTTCTTCCCTTATCCAAAGTGCACATTTCTATAGCACTTTATCCTCAACAATCATATGCTACTTCATATGTTATGGTTAGAGATGCACCTACTAGTCTACTAGTCTTATTCTTATATTACTCTGTAAACTCTTGGAGGCAGAGAGATCATCCCCTCCCATCCTTGCATTGTTCCCAGCATTATGCACACAGTGAGTACTTCATGTACCCTAACTAAATTAATGTCAAATAAATTTGGAGAGAGGGGTGGGGAAGGGAGAGTGAGGCGGCAAGATGTAGTAGAAAGAGTATGAGAAATGGAGTCAGAGAGCCCCGTGGTAGCACTCTGTCACCGATGTAGTATACCAGTCTGAGCCCAATTCTACATCTGTCAAATGGACATAATTCTTCCTGTCTAAAGACCTTACAGGGCAGGAGACAGGAGTTGTAGAAATGTAATCACACACACACACACACACACACACACACACACACACACACCGTGATTAGCAGAAAAGCCACAATACTTGAACCTGCCTTTTGAAATTCTGCTTCCAGTTCTGTGGTACACATTTCTATCCCAAAAGGAAGATTTCCATATCACTTTGTGGAGAAAGGGTGAGGTGAGGAGAAATTCAATTATTAAAACCTAGAAGAGATTATTTACAGACTGCAGGCAGATGTTGCTGAGGGCAAGGGGGGCTGTGGAGGGAATACAGCCTTGACAGAAATGCCACACAATCCTACCCATGATCCTCTCCTCAGAGAAGGAGAAGGGAATGCTCCTCCCAGACAGAAATAAAATGAATGCCAGCTGAGAGGACTCTGTGAGAAAGATTTTGTTTGACATGTCAGGTGAGCCTTCCAAGTGACAGCATCAAGGCAATAATCCTTTGACTGTTAGCCACCAAGGCTAAACTATGAGGTCAAGGCTCACCAGCTTTTGAGACTGGAGTTGTAGCTCAGTGGTAGGGGCTTGCCTAGCATGCATGAGGCTCTGGGTTTGAACCCCAGTGCTGCAAACAAACAAAAAATCACAAACAAATAAAGACTCTGGGCTATGTGCTGTTTGTCTAATTCAGAGACAAGGCCAGTGCCCACTGAATAAGAACACAAGGAGTATCCTTCCAAATACAGAAACTGCTCCCTTTCCTAGAATGCCATTGCTTCTAGTTTTCTTTTAGGCTGCTTCTCCAGTTTCAAGACAAATATCTCTAAGCCCCGAGGAAGCTTTTGGGCTCGTTCCACATGTGCATATCTAGATTTTTTCCTAAGGAGTAGCTATGGATGCAGGAGAAGGTGCAAAAGCCCAAAGAACAAGGCCAGTGGGCAAAGGGGTGAGGTGAAGCATTAGGCCCAGGGGACCCTTCACAGCTTAGGGGCAGGGAAGCTGCAGCCTTCATTGGGGTCTAAAGTCAAGCTTGCATTAATCTGGGTTTAGGGCTGGGGATGAGAGTGGGCAGGAATCTTTGGCTTTTGTGAGGTGAGGAACCAGTCCCTCCCACTCAACTGAGACCTTTTTTCTTGGGCATTGGCCACACAGACCCACTTACACACACACACCTTCAAGAGGGTCTCTCTCCTAAGCCAGCCAAAGCAAAAATTTCCAAGTTGTTGAATTGATGGGAACGGTCAGGAGTCATCTTTGGAGAACTCATTCCTTTACCCCAAATCTCCATTCCACCTCCTCACTCCTTTCACCCGGGGAAAACTCCCAGGGCCTGGGCTGCGTGCCACAAAACTGCATCTTCCAGGGCAGGAATCCCTGGAAGTGAACAACTTAGGGACTGGGCTTTGGGGCTCCAGGTGTGGCCTTGTGGCCTAACTGCTCCGAGAGTCCCCATGTGATGTGGAAGGGGTCAGGCCCCACTATAGGGCCCGACCTCAGACAGTAAGGTGGCGGTGAGCCGCCGCACGGCACCCGGGCCCAGTCCCGGCCTCCCTGCCCCGCCCGCGCCGACCCAGCTCTTACTTGCGGTAGGCGGCGAGCTGCACAGCGCTGTAGGGGAAGAGGCGCAGGCATGTCACCCCATTCCCCTTCCACAGGGCTCGGGGCCCCTCGGCCCGCCACACCCAGCGCCCTATGGCCCATGGTCCCCGGGCGTGGCCTCGTGTGACGCCGACCTGGGCCAGCACGGTGGCGAGCTCCAGGGGCGCTGTGAGGCTGAGACTGAGCGTCCCCGCCAGCCCCGCGCACAGTAGCCGCTGACTGCCGGTCAGCCGGCTGTCCCGCCTCCACGTAGCCATCGAGCCCGGCCCGGCCCGGCCTGGCCCGGGAGACCGCGTGGCTCGGGCCTGGGGTTCGTGGGCCACCAGCAAAGGGGGCGGGCCAGGCCCCGCCCGGCGTGGGGCGGACCCGGACCCGTGGGAGGAACTGAAACACCGTCCACGCCTGAGCCTGCCTTGGGGCTAGGGGTGGGGTCGAGGGCCAGCTGACCCGGGGTGAGGCCTCCTGGTTGAATGGCATGGGGGCTCTACAGTTGTCATGACTCGGTTTTCAGTTGAGAACAGTCTATTTTCTCAAGGCCTAGCCAGCTAGAATTTTTTGTTTCCTAAGTGTTCAGAGATTCCTCTGCCCCTCTTCAGGTTTGCCCCTTTGCCACCTAGACCTCTTCTTCCCCCTGCTGTTTCCTCTTTCTCCTTTTCTCTCCAATCTTTTTTTTTTTTCCCTGCCCCAATAAAAAGCCCAGAACATTACGCAGTGTAGAATGGACAAACCAGTAATAACCATGGCCACTACCTATCAGACACTTGCCAAGTCCTGGACTTTACAAATATCATCTTAGTGAATCCTCAAAACAGCCCTTAGTAGGTATGACCTAAGGCTGTAGGGTTGGTGGTTAGAACCTGGAATCTGGATCCTGCCTTAGAATCTTGACTGCAAATTGCCAGCTGTGTGACCTTGGGGAAGTCACTGAATCTCACTGTGCCTCAGTTGCTTTATCTGTGACGTGAAGATTATGGTCTCTTTTTCCTAAGGGTTGTTGTAAGGATTAAATGAACAATGACTGGGATAGGTAAGCAGTACATATGTTAGTTATGGTGGTACTTTACAGCAGAGAAAACTAAGATCCAAAGACATTGACTTGCTAAGGGTCACAATACTACTAGAAGGCAGAGTCAGAATTTAAATCTTGATTGCTTTTCTGCCAACATCTACTAAGAGCTACACTACACATTCATTAGTACTGTAGAGTATAACTCCAGTAGGGACATTATCAGTGGTTCTGTTACTTACAGGGACAATTAGAGGCAAAGAAGGGCTCTAAGAGTGACTTGACCAGAGTCCAAGAAGGATTTTAATAAGTTTTTAAAAAACTTGCATTTTGGGCTGGGGATGTGGCTCAAGCGGTAGCGCGCTCGCCTGGTATGCGTGCGACCCGGGTTCGATCCTCAGCACCACATACCAACAAAGATGTTG